CCGCCCTTCGCTCACCTGACCTGCGGGCCATCCGGGAAGAGGAAAAGGATGCTCCAGGTGAGCCTTCGGATCGCCTAAGGCGCCGGGAGTAGATGCGAGGGAGCCCCGTGAATCGTTTAATGAGGACGTAAGAGCGTTCTTCAAACTTGGCCACTTTAAGATGGGTGGACTTCAACTCCCAGAATTCCCCAGCCAGCAGACTCCAAGTCCACACATCTTAAAGTGGCCAAGTTTGAAAATCAGGGCTGCAAACGATGGAAAGCGAGGCCGCCGGTGCCGCAACAGCCGCTGTCTTAAGGAGGGGTCAGGAAAGTGTATCTGGGAGTGGGGAGACGCGGAAGGGCGCGCCTTGGCAGCACGGAAAGGAAAGTGTCGGCCTGCTCCCCTGGGCTGGGCTGGGCTGGGCTGGGCTGAGCTGAGCAGTCCCCATAATGCCCAGAAGGACCGCCACCTGGCAGGCACCGTGCTGCGGAGGGCGAGCGCGGACGGTTACCGAGGCCCACGGACGGGCAGGTGACCCTGTTCTCCCCCGGTTGGGGTACAAATAAACAAACCACACTGCAATACTCAGAACTTGGTTCCACAAATGCATTTGATAAACAGCAGTAACAACCAAACTCGCTCTCCGTTCTATTTGCATTACGAGACCATCGATTTACATTCGCGTAGCTCAGAGCGGTAAAGGAGCTCTGAGGGCAAAATGCATCAAATACTTGGAATTAGGACTCGTTGCTCCTCCGGCCTGAAAACTCCCCTCCCTGCCGAGTCTGGAAGGGCCAGCAAGGGCGGGGGCCCCGCTGCAGGGGTGCAAACTAACCTCTTCCTTAAGGAACGTCGATGGCACTTCTCGGGCTGTGCACTTAAAAGTCCTACAACCAGTACCTTGAAGTCAGAGAGCGGCTAGTTGGCGGTTTCTCTGGTTAGAAACATTTTTGTATCTCAGAACGCCATCCCAAACCATCGGAGGCAAACCCGTCCCGAGTCGCTTTCGGGAGGGGCAGCAGAAGCTGTCTGAAATGGTTTTCTCAAGATCTGATGGCACCTTTCTGAAAAACAGAAGAACGGCCTCCCACCCTTTTTAGTGGAAAATAAACGCGCTAGGGCTCAGAAAGGATTAACGTGAAAAAACATCTAAAGTGTTTTCCCCAAAACCCACACTGGAAGTGTCAGCTTCCCTGAGGCCGCTGGCACAAGAAACCCGTCTGCTTCGGAGGGGAGTACGGGACACCCAAATCCCTCATCGCCGACTCTGAGAATTCGTTTCCCCCCAAGCAGGCCACCGTTAGACTGCAACGGTGAAGCCTCCCTACTGACGTCCTCCTCCTGCAGCTCAGGACGCTCCCCTCCCAACCGGCAGCGGCCTCGGAAGCGCCTGGCGCTTTGCCGAGAGCAACGAGGGCCCAATCTGCTCGGTGGACGAAGGGAGGAAACAGATCGGCCGCCTTCTCACAGAAGGAAAGCAAGCTTTAGGGTCCCTCAAGCGTAACTCTCTCATGACGAAGCGCTGCAGACAATTAAAATGATTTCAAAGCCGCAAAAGCTGCCTGTGGGCTGTTCTCTTTCCAAACGAATGTTTGATCACCCCGGAGCATACACCTACGTTACATGCAGGTGGAGGAGAAATGCCAAACCAGAGCGAAGCTGGCCTCCGCCGGAGCCGGGATTACTATGGAAACCCTCCCAAGTTTCCCCTGGCATTCGCTTTCTTTCCCCAGCCTGCAGCGGAAGGGTTATTGGCAACCCAAAGAGAAAGAAAGACGCTCTGCTGTGCACCAGTCATGAGGGGACGCTGGCAGAATGGCAAGAAGACGACAAAATGCACCCCCAGAACAGGAAGACCAGCACGGATGGGAGAGAAACCGAGCAGGCCTTCGCTTGAGGAAACACGCAGGCACGCCCAGGAAGAGAGACCCGCACGGGGGCCCCGCGTACCCACTTCTGCGCATTCCTGTTCTGTCTGCATGGATCAATGGCAGCGGCCGCCCTCCGCCAACGAAGCAGCTCCCCCCATCTCTGGGGGGAGCCAGCTTGGGAATGGCCGACCCCAAACGTCAGCCTGGCCGTGGTTATTCCTCGGATCGTAGCTCAGATCTGCCTCTTCCGGGCCAGCACCCCACTCTTCCACGGGGAGACCGTTGGTGTGCCGCCGTTGTGTACAAGGCCATGGGGCTTTCTTCTGGGAACATCACCGGCTCTCTCAGGCTGGGGTTCGGCTCCGGGTGGAGGAGCTGCAATGCAAGTCGGGGGTTACTCGAGGAGGTTTCCTCCCTCGTAGGACCGAAATTGAGGCCCTCCTCTGAAAGTGACAGGCAGACAGGCAAATGGAAAGATTGAATGGGGACAATGGGTCTTTATATTTAGCAATCCAAAAAACGCTGCAGTTAATTCTGCGACTCTTTAGAGCAGTGTTTCTCAGTCTTGGCGGCCTTAAGGTGTGTGGACTTCAACTCCCAGAATTCCCCAGCCAGCAAAGAATTCTGGGAGCCGAAGCCCACACACCTTAAAGCCGCCAAGGTTAAAAAACACTGCTTTAGCGGAACCAGGCTCTCTGCCGGCCCACCCCTCCTAATCTCTAACTGCAGATTACGGTGGTGGTCTCCCAGCAGCTTTTCCTCGCCGCCTGGCAGACAGATCGCCTCCCCGACCATCAGCCGCTCACCTGGGCACTGGTGCCTCCTCCAAGGCGGAAAGGCCTTCCGTAGGGCTTTGGCGTCCTGGTGGGGCTCAGCAGGCCCCCAGGCGGGTCCCCGACCATCCTGTTTCCTTGGGAGGAGGGCTGGGGCAGAGCCCAACTCCCTCGGGTCACCTTCTGCCTTTTAAACAAAGAAGTGGAGATCAGGAGGGCAACACGGAGGGTGACGCTCAATTTGGTGGACCGCAGCCTGTGACGGGATGCGTTATGTTTAGGAGTAGTCCGGGAGCTTCCGCCAGCAGAGGCCAACAAAAGGATTGCGAAGCAAGGCTGCAGCGGCTGCCTGGCCCAAGGAGCGGACGAGGCCCCTGAGGGCAGCCAGACAGTTTGCAAGGGAAACGGTGTCGTCGCATGGCCCGATGCAAGGCGGCAAACCTGGATTACGGGCTGCAGAACTGGCCTCTGGCTATTTTGGGCCGGGATATGCGATGCTCGTGCCTTGGAGTCACACTCCAGCAACTGCGCACAGCCTGCCAGGCTGCCCTGAACCAGGCTTGGGGAATTTCTGGTGCGTCCCCAGCCACTGTCCTAGCAAGTGGTGGGAACCGAGTCAACCTGCTAAGCTACAATATGGTTGTTTAGGCAAAGCAGGACAGCCCAAATGTTGCTTGGGTCATGTAAACACCATTTAACTTGTGTTTATTTAAACCAGATTTAGGGTTTAGGATGTTGTCTGAACCAGCCGAGAAGCGCTATGGAGCATAACTGCTTCTATAAACGCAGAGGATGGGTGAACAAGTGGTCTTGCAGTCGGTTTCATAAAAAAGAGCGGAATCGGGACTTGTATCTCCTGTAGGGATCGGAAGGTGTAATTTGGGACTGAACAGGGTTCCGACTTCCAGCAGCCACGTTCAGCAGGGAGCACAGTTTTACCGTACCTGGACTACGGCTACCAGGTGCAGCGTCAGGAAGCCTGGCCACCGAGAGATGGCAGCAGAGAGACCAGAAGAAAAGTAGTCCTCTGCTGCCATCATATGGCGGTTTGACTTTCTGCAGCCTAGATCTGGCCAACCCAATCTGCCCCATTCCCCATTCCTGATCTACAGCCTTCCCTAACCTAGTATTGCACTACAAATGCCAACAGCTCCCCGTGCTGCGGCAGGCTGACCCATGGATACAGCTTGTAGTTGTGCCTCCGGTGGCACTCTCGCCCTTTTCTGCAGCCAGGAGGAAACAAACCAGAAATGGGTTTGGTCCTGCTACTGGAGAACACCGGGAGTCTCCCTTGTCTACGAACCCAACCACGACCTGTGGCCCAGGGCCCCTCTGAGCCACCTAACGCCTGCCCGCCCACCCGCGCACGCCCCCAGCTTCTCATTCTTTACAAAAGATGGCTTTCCTACTCGTCAATGTTACTTTGCCGTCTCTTCACCTCCTCCAGATGATAGAAAACAGACAAGGCACGGACGTTTCCAAGCCCTTTTTGCTTCGGGCCCTTCCTCTTCTTCTGACACAGCTCCTTGGGTGACGGGAGGCTCTGCGCAGTGGAGGCCACCTGCCAGGGCCAAGGGCCCCCCTCGCCCACAGCAGGCCGCTGGGCTGCACGGCCAGATGTCTAAAGGGCAGAGAAGCCAAGAGAGACTCAGCAACCGGCTTTATTTTGGCCGTGGGGCAGTGTGTGCAATGCTGCTGCACCCTCAGCTGACACCTGACTTCTCTACAGAAGGACCGCAGACTTCGGCGAATTAGAAGTAATTTTAACTTGAGTCAAGGAAGAAGGCACCCTCTCTTTATCAATCAGTGGATAGGGAAGGTGTCACAGATACTTTGCTTAGTAGTTTCGCCTTCAGCAAAAGTGCCAAGGCAATTTACCGCCTCCCCCCCGCAAAAGGTTAAATACGTACATCTGATAGATGGACAGGCAGAGAAGTAAATAAAGTACTGGCAGTACTTCTATGTTTAGTGGGAAAAAGGATCAAGTTAAAAGAGAAATTATTCTCCCTATCTGAGAGAAAAAAGGGAAGAGAAAATACATCTTTTCCAGGGACTATAATAAATCTCAGCGTTGTCTGTACAATCTCACTCAATGAAAACAAGGTATTTTTTCTTGTATACACTCTATACATACTGAGTTAAATTCTTACTGATTGGTATTTAGGGAGGGGTATTAAGGAAAAAGGGGATATTAAGCCCAGGAGATGCTTTTTGTATGTAAATCACTTCACCTGAAAAAGCCATCTTCCAAAAATCATCTCCTTTGAAATGTTACAGAATTCTAATGCCCACAAAAAGGGGGCCAGGCAGTATGTCTGGACCCCAGATTCTTACCCCCCCACACACTAAAGATGCGATTGCTCTTCCCTAACCTAAAGATCAGGAGCATCCTCAGGAGCAGGGAGGTAAAAAAAGTCACAATGGTAGCCACAGCCACGCAACTGAAGCTCCGCCCCTTACACGCACCACAGCCCCCACAAAAGAGGCGGGTGTGGATCGCGCCGTTGCAGAGGCCATCTTGACTTCTCTGCCCCTTGCCCTGCAGATGCCCCCCCCGAGATTCGTCTTGGTTTAATACTCACCGGTGTGGGAATGTGCCCCTTTGGACTCTGTAGGGCTTGTGAAACCTTTTGCTGCCCCCCAGCTATTTCACAGCCTCTGCAATGCCCCCTCAGCACGGCTCCCCAGATTTCGGGGCCACAATGTTTCTCTCTGCGAAATACGTGGCGCTAAACCCAACTCAGCTGACGTGGTTTGCGCCAGACCAGATGTGCCTACAGACTGCCCTCAGCCACGGTTGCTTTGTGGAATCCCCCACCGGCCTGCACCCCATGGGTGTGGGCCAATCATAGAGGCTGGGTGAGGCCAGGGTGCCTTGAGAGGGGGAAAGATTTGGGGGGGAGAGTGGGAAGATTTCTGTATGTGCTCGCAGCCCTCCTGCTCCCCCACCTCCTGAGCATCCCTCATTAGCACCCCCGGGTGAGCCACGTGTGACAAAATCCTAGCGCTTGAAGACCCAGGCTATGCTCCGCGTCAGAAGATAATTAATTCCGGAAAGCAAAGTGTGGGGGACGAAAGCAGAACCTTTCCCAGCTTACCACAAGATGGGCATTTTGGGAACAAGATTCACCCACTTTTCTTTAAGGAGCCCAGGCAGCCGCCCTGTTTCTGCAGATGGCTATCTTGCTGCTGCTGGGCCTGCCGGGGGCAGCTGGTGAGACTCCGGCCTCCTCTCCCCACCCCGGGAGGAAACCTCAGAGCGACAGTTGCCAGGACGGCTTCGGCTTCTCTGTCTCCAGCTCCAGAGCGCGATTTGAATAAGAACAGCAAAGCGATCAATCAACGGGCCCATATCTGGGTGGACGATCGGGAACGCCAAGGGGGCTTTTGTGGGATGGGTACAAGGGATTACGGCTCGGGCTGGCCCCACCATCCTATACCCGTTGCAGGGTTTTTCAGGTCAAGTCACTCTGAGATGGCAGAGGCAATCATCCTCCATGCTCAGGCCAAAGCCCGGCCCGTTAGGTTCGCTAAGCTAGTTTCTTTGTCCTCCCAGTCCAGAGTGGGGGGCCAGCTGGGCGCTGGCAGAGGAAACTGCTCTCCTCAGCTCGCCCCTGACCCTTCCGCCTCTCCTCTGGAGATGCAGGGAGGGAGCCCGGGCCCTGGATCCTGGCCCAACCCTCGAGCAGGCGGGCTGGGACTGTGGGGGGCCGGGCGCCTTTCCCACAAGCGCCCAGAGGGGTCTGCGTTAGCTCAGCTCGTGGGAGGAGGTGAGGATTGGGACCATGCCTCGAGGACTGTGGGGACCAGGGCAACCTGATGTTGCTACACCTGGCGGGAGCCCCAAAATGTGGCAGAGATATTCTACCATATGGAGGTTACTCCCTGGGAGCGTGTCACGGGCGTCTCTGCTCCACAGACACAGGTGCCTAAATCGGGTGTGGGTTGGAGAGGGAAGAGTCCCTTAAGCCACAACATCCCGTGGCTAAAACGGGCTAAAAGGCTAAAAGAGCCTGGCCCACCCTGGATGGACCGGGATACCTGGCTCAGCAAGGCAGGTGTTCTTTCGTAGGCATCTTCGAAGCAGGGCTCATGGACCCTGCTTCCTGCTCTCCCATCCTGACCTAGCTGCCTGCAAGGGTGCCCAGGCGCTGGCAGCAGCTGCAGGGCCGGGGGCAGAACCACCGCAAGGCTTGGCATGCTGCGCGGTGCTGCGGGAGTGCCTGTCTACCTTGGATCCGGTCCACTTCCTGATCAATACTGCCTGCGCAGACCCGACTGGTGGGCTCGGACAGAGTTTCCAGATGTGCTTGGGGTCTGTCTGCCACTGGAACACCATTTCAGGATTTTGCTAACTTGGCACATGATGCTCCGTAATTCAAGCCTATCTACTTATTGAATGTTTCTATCTGGAGTCGAAGGTGGTTGCCGGATGCGCGAAGGGCAATATTTGATGGAACTAAATCATGTGTGAGAATAAAGGGAGGCCTTAGTGAATAGTTCAACATGGGGCAAGGAGTAAGACAAGGAGGCATGATGTCCCTTTGTCTGTTTAATGTATTTATGGATAAATGTAGAAAAAGAGATGCTTGTAGTGACATCAGAACTGTGTTGGTTGGGGACATGATGGTGTTTCTACTTTTGTACATGTACTGAGGGCTGAGAACCTGAATGATTTGCAGTGAATGCCAGAGAGATTGTACGATGCAACAAAGAGGATGGATCTGAAATTAGAATATTCAAGACCCAAGGAATAGAGTTTGGCAGGAAACAATTGCAAGTTATATACAAATGGGGAAAACTAAAGCAAGTTGATGAATTTACATAGCTTGCTAGGATGTTTACTAAAGATGAAAAAAATCGGTGGAGAAATTTTAAGTAGAAATGCTGGTAGAAAGGTAGCATTATATCTGTTGCACTGCATGAATATTTACTGAAAGAAGCAAAAATGGCTGTGCGTGAATGCATATTTCTGCCACTTTTTGAATGGGAGTTGGGAATGTTAGGAAAAACATTAAAGTTGCATACAGCAGAGATGGGATTCTTTAGAAGTGTCTGGTACACACAAGAGAAATGGTCAAGAATGAATGGGTGATTGATGAATGAATGAATGAATGAATGAATGAATGAACGAACGAATGAACGAACGAACGAA